AATGGCGATGAGGCAAATGACCAAAATTGATCCAGGTAGTAATAATATTCTTCAGTACATCAAGTTCAAGTAATCAACTTTCATTTTTATAATTTTATTAGTTATTTATGATTTCATTCTATATCTTTGCAGCCAATTGGTGGAGCCAACATAGGTATAGTTCTCCAAATTTACAAAAGTTGGCCATTCGGATCTTAAACCTAACGCTTCCTCATCCGGTTGTAAGCGCAATTGGAGTACTTTTGAAAGGGTAAGGCCGTAAGGGTAATTTGTATAATTGTATTCATAATACATGAACCATAGATTTTAATTAGTTTCATTAGATTTTGTTAGATTCATACAAAGAAAAGGAACATGCTTGAATCAAAGAGGCTCAATGACCTAGTCTATGTTATGTATAATCGATTCTTAAAGGACAGGTTTGCTAAGAGAGATAAGAGAGATCCCATCAGATAAAAAATATGGACAATGCTATGGCGTGGTTAGTTGATGATGATGAGGTCGAGGGGCATGAAGGACTGACATGGGACATGGTCATGGATGCTTTAGGGACATTAGCTGACCCCCTTTGAACCACTAGATCTTTTGCACAGAGAACGAAGGTGGAGGAGGAAGAAGGGGCAAATTCAGAAGAGACAGATGAGGATGACCAATATGTTGAGGAGGGTGACAACTTCGATGAATATGGTGCCAATGCAGCTGACCCTAATTTTTCTGATGATGAATGATGAATGTTGAATAATTATTAAACTTTGAACTTTGATTGAACTATGAATGATAAATTTTAAATTTTAATTGGATATGGATTATGGATCGATTTATGGTTATGCTTGTGGAGTGTGTGCTAATGTGTAGTATACTTTGAATTCTGATGTGCCCTAGATACCTAATTCTTATATTTTATACAATAAATAACTGTAAAATCCTTTTTGGATTCAATTGGACCGCCCAGGTTTTAGGTGCCCACTTAGGTGCTGAGCGGCCTTGATCCCCCAGGCCGCCTAGGACCCGCCGAGCGCTTTTTGAAACATTGGTTGAGCTTTAAAGGAGATGAGATCACCCTCCAAAAATCTCAAGTATTGAAAAGGGAGCATCATTGGACTGTAGATCGCAGAGAGTCAGGGCTTTTCCAGAATGATTGAGAAAACTTTTGTTTCGCTATATCTCTCTATGGCCTTGAAACCCTAACTTATAGAGGGATGGGAAGAGACCGTTCTCCAACGTTCGGCTTTCTTTCCTGGAATATCTGAAAAGTGACCCTCAATACCTGAGAGATAGGGAGTTATCCACAATCCGTTGGAAAAGGATTTTCTCTCTCTAAAAAACCTTTTAAAGATAGATACTAATTAATACATAATATTTTTTAAAAAATCATTAATTAGATAAAAAAAATATGTGGCACATGTGAAGGCCCATGGTCACCTACACGTACCAGCATCTCTCAGTTGGCCATGTGGACCTAATACATTGAAATATCAAAAAGCCTATACCACTTAATGGGTTTAATCTTTATAAGTATATAATTGTCATGAGGATTTTCACGCTAGTACGATTATCCATCTCATGACACAAAAATCATCCACTGTCATGCCATGGGGTTTTCGTGGTAATGCGGCTTTTCCTCTCATGACCAAGACATCAAAGGAAAATATCCCTTTTGAGAGCTCTTGACTTAGATGTTCGTAAATCCTATCAAAGTTCCATGCTTTGAAAATATTTCTGCACTTAATTTCTTTGTCAAAGGTTTTGCAATTGCCAATTATATCTAGTGATGGCAAATAACTCACAATTATTTCATTCTTTTCAATAATATCATAAATATAATGATAATCAATTTCAATGTGCTTACCCTTAGAACTATAGGCTCCCAAGGTTTCAAAAAACGCTAGGCAGCCCCTATGCGCCCTGCCTGGCGCCCAAAGCCTCGGGCGCCCTGTGGGTCAAATTCTTAGCATTTTGTTATATATTTGCTATCCAAATGCACATATATGCATATATTTATGTCAAATTTTGTAATTTATTCCATTTGAAAATATCAAAAGTTCGCAACATACATTTTTATATACAAACATATCACATATCTCAGGTTGAGAATAAACTTATTCAAAATTTCAAACCATACAATACATTTAAAAGTCTAATAGGGTATTGCAAAGTCTCCAACTCTCATATTATCCATATTCCATATCCATAAAATAAACCATAATACAATCCAAGTTTCCAACTCTTCAAGTCTTCAACAAACTGACTTCCAAAACTATAAAAAACTTGTAAACCACACAACAAAATAGTCCAAAAAGGCAAAAAAAGTGTAAACCACATAACAAAATAAAAATAGTCCAAATGTCTAAAGCCCAAACTAAGATGATGCAATAAAGTTATTACAAAAGAAGAGAGAAGACATCAATAAGAATCAGAATCATCATCTTCATTGCTTTCATCTACATCAGAATCATCACCCTCTTCAACATATTCTTCTTGTTCCAGAGATTCTTCTGAATCTACCTCCTCTTCCTCTATTTCCCTTTGTGAAGTACCAGCAAAAGAAGTTGCTCAAGTGGCCCTCCTAGGATCAGAAGCTTGCCCCGAAGCCTCCTCGACCATTTCCCATGTCACCTCCCCAGGGAAGATCTCCTCAGTACAGGGTCACTAACTAGCCAATTTGAAGCATTCTCCGTGCCTTTCGAAGAGATAGGATCCTTCTTTGGCTGGTTTTTCTTCTGCTTGAGCCTTTGTTTTTTCCAAGTCATTGAGCTTCTTTTGCTCAAGCCTATTTCTTCTCTTGGTATGCACCTATAAGGAAAAATGCATAAGTAACTACTATGAGTCTATTTCTTCTCTTTGCTCAAGCCTATTTCTTCTCTTCGATGTTGGTTACCTCAATCGAGCTACGAATCAACTCAAAAGTCTTATAATGCCACCAATAGTACCCTAAAAATAATTTCAATGAGAAAATAATTTATTTTCAATCCACAAAAATACTTTCGATTATCAGAAATTACTTTAGATTCTCATAAATAAGTTTAAGAGATTGAGGATTTTTTTTTTTTTTTTTCATTTCGGGGGTTAAAAAATAAACCCTATAATGTTTTTATACAAACTTGGGGGTCAAAATGACCCTTTTGGGTGAATTTAAAAATAAAAAACGCCTTACGGCCCTGGGCGACCACCCAGGTACAACCGCTCGTGTAGGGCCGCTTGGGTTGAGGCGTGCGGTTTTTTTGTTCAGGCTGCCTAGGCACTGGGCGGACCTTTTTTTAAAACATTGTAAGCTCCATTTCTAATTGATGAGGTGGCCACTCGATTGTCACAAAAAAGTTTAACTGGTCCGTCGGCCATATCTAGGAGGTCACAATCACTCTTGTGAAAATATGCACAAACTTTTTGAAGTTATTCCTTTAGATTTCAAATCGGGTGGTTGTGAGCATGTCAGTGGCTAGACTCAAAGTTCAAAAAATATTTTTTGGACTTCATGACACACCCCAAGCCATCCAATTTGATATCTAATGGCTAGAAGTAATTGTGATGTCTTTGTAAGAAAGATAAATGGTCTCATAGTATACAATCTCCTTGAAATTTCAGTTTCTTTTCATCCGGTATTTATTCTTTATAACTATTTGTTTCTTTGTTGATCTCTTTTATGATTGAGCCTTTTTCACTCTATGTTACCATCATCAGCATCATCATCCAAGTTTTATCCCAATATTTGGGATTGGCTCCATGAATCCTTTTCCTCCATTCTCTCATAACATAGGTTCGGGATTCATGATAAAATGTGGTGAAGTTTTATGCTGGCTGTTTTCCTAATGCAACCATTCGTTTACCTGGGCTTGGGACTGGTCAAGGGAAAGTTTAAGGTCCTTATTCTTATTAGACCTCTTTTCACTCCATGTATAAGAGGAAATAATCCAACAAGGATTGTAATCCAACATGTTGACATCACTTCTGGGGTTTCTTCATGTTGTTATCAATGTGGAGCTAGCTCGTTTCAAAATTTACCAGTTTTAGTTACCAATTGGTCACTGGTTTATTTTATTTTTTAAAATTTTCAATTTCCACTACTTTGTGCATATTTTTCTTCTTCTCCATTTCAAGGTGTTTTCATAAAATGGAATAATTTCAAAAAGTTAGTCAACAACGAGTTTGAGTCTATTGTTTTTTTCCTTGCTAATATTTTGTGTTTCTTTATATGCTGATCTTGTTGAGAATCTGTGAAAGAAATTTCCTTAGTTAGGATTGTGTTCCATAATGTTAATTTTTTGGGTTTTTAAAACGTGGAATTAGTCTACTCCTGATGTACACTTTTTTTATAACTGATTGGTATCTAGATTTTATTACTGTTAATGTTCATTCACATTTTCCCCTTGTTTTATTAGATTAAGAATGATGAAGAGTCCAAATTGCTGGAGAAAGTTCAGTGTTCTCCTGGTTATATCGATTCCAATTTTCAATTTTCTGACACTCTTTTCTGTTTCGATTAATTCTTTCTCTGTGTTATTTCATAGAGTTACAAGATTTAGGGCAGAGAGGGAGTAGACCAAAATGTTGGAGCAATTGCTGATATTTACCAGGGGAGGGTTGATTCTCTGGACCTGCAAAGAGCTTGGCAATGCTCTTAAAGGATCACCCATCGATGCTCTTATCCGGTCTTGCCTCTTGGAGGAGCATTCTGGTGATTATTACTTCAATTACGATGCTGCAGGGGCCTCCTACACCCTCAAGTGGACCTTCCACAATGATCTCGGCCTCATATTTGTTGCAATTTACCAAAGGATTCTCCATCTCTTGTATGTGGATGACCTTTTATTCATGGTGAAGCGTGAGTTCTCCGAATTGTATCATCCGAAGAGGACATACTATGAAGATTTCGGTGACATATTTCGACAGCTTCAAAAGGAGGCAGAAGCAAGGGCTGAGGAAATGAGGAAATCGAAGCAACAGACAAAACCAGTTGAGTCATTGACCAAAAAAGAGGGTCAAAGTGCTAATAAGAAAAAAGGGGTTTTGCTGGCTGGGAAAGAGAAAGTTTCTAGCAAGGACAATGCATCAGAGGGGAATCATATTAATGGTCATAAATTAGAGAATAGGAACTCAAACGGGCATGAGTTGGGAACTAAGACAACTCATGCTGATGTAAAGAAGAGTGTTCCTGAATCTGAGGCATTTGATGTGAATAAGCTCCAAACACTGAGGTTTAAAGTAGGTAAGAAAACGGAAACAGTTAGTAAAGCTCCCAAAGTGGAGCAAACTAAAAAGACAACAAAGAAAAACAGAGTTTGGGACGATTCACCTTCAGAGTCAAAGTTGGATTTTACGGATCCTATGGATGGGAAAGGGACTGAGGCTGTAGTTATGGCAGATCAAGGTGAAAGCATGATGGATAGAGAAGAAATTGTGAGCAGTGATAGTGAGATTGACAATAATGAGGACGAGAGTGGTAAGCCTGACAACAAGAAGAGAGGATGGTTTTCATCTATGTTTCAAAGGTATGCTTCTTTATTTTGATTCTCTGAAGGTGTTGCAGAAACTTTTTTATAGTAATGTTGTTACTTTTTATTGTTATTATAAGAAACTCAACAATGGCCCATTTTTTTGATATTTTCCGTTTAATCCGTCTGTTGGAAAGGTGTTACACTCTATTTTATTGCAGCTTCTTTTTTTGGGGTTTAAATTCTAAGAACTCAACAATGGCCCATTTTCTGTTGACATTTTCCAACAAACTTATTTCATTGGATGAATATCCATTTTTTATGTCGTTGCAACTCTTCTGTTTGTTAGTTCTTAGAATATTGTTTTAGTGAAAAGATGTTGAGCTTTAGGTATTTCGAAATTGTTACTGCATGTGTGGTTATTAGTTTTGCTCACGTTTGTTGGGCTCAACTTTTTCCATTTGTTGTTGCGAGATAACCTGGAATAGGTGAGGTAGTTTGAGTCATTACCCTATTTTTGCCGGGAATCTCTGCACTCCTTGCTTCCATTGACTATTTCCTCTGTTAAAGTTATTTTAGTTTGATTTCATTGCTACTATCTCATCTTTTTATATTAGCTAGTAATGGATTATTTTCTTTTTAATTGCCTTTTCTTTCTCTCTCTTTCATGCTTTTTTTTTTTGTCAATTAGTAGTAAGTGAACAGTTCTCTTATGACCGTTGTTCTATCATTTCATAGATCAAAAACTTGCCTTATCCGAATCAGGACTAGGGGTCATGACCTTAGCAAGTCTCATAAAAATTATGTAAAATGGCAAGTGAGTAGTGACCGAATCGAAAGCTGTTATATTGAAATGACCCACTCAGTTGGTTTTGAACTTGCCTGAGTCCTACTTGTTCAATTCGGACAGGAAGTATGCTGAGTTTCAAACTGCCTATAGTTTTGAACTTTGGATCATTTAAACAAAACAACAAGGGCGTGCTTGTATACAAGGAGAGAGAGGAAAGCCTCAGCATTAGGATTCAGATGCACCACCAAACTCGCATGAATCTACTTTAGCATTTATTGAGAAAACTCTTATAAAGGGACCAAATCTGGCTTTGGTGGTGCATCATCATCATTAGAGCCTTTACCCCAAATAGTTGGGAAAAGTCTCTAATGATGATGCACCACCAAAGCCGGATTTGGTCCCTTTATGCGAGTTTTCTCGATCTAAAAGTAGATTCATAATTGTATGACTCCAACTATTAATGCACAAAATAATAAAGTAGAATGTGGCTATCAGCCTGTCAATAATGATTAACTACTACGGCGTAAATGACATATAAATACCCCTTATGACATAAGAATGGCACATGACGAATGATTAGCTTGTTTCCCAATCATAAGTTCTGCTCTGGTGAGCAGGTCGGGTGATCATAGGGATAAACTTGTAATGTTTTGATATCACCTTGAAGACCTATCTTCCGATAAAATATATCCAGTGATGGTACATTGGTGATCTTGGCATGGAAGATTGAAATCTAAATTGATTGATCTGTGACAATCTAAATACATGGAAATAGGACTACTGAGTCCCGTTGTCATTCAATGTTGTTCTGGCTCTTTTAAATTCCACAATGTTACATTTCTGGCACTTTCAGCATTTTGCATCACACACATAAGTGCAACACTTTGTCATTATTACTAACTGGCCAAAGTTGGCTTTGTTAAGTGTTGACATAGTTGGAGACTTATGTCACACATCATTTTCACATGTTGGTGTTTCGATTGTGGCTGTGGGTGCTACTTTCCCTTGAGAATCGCTTTGTGCTTTGTGGAGATGAGCTTTTTCCTATTGGGAGGTTGAGCACGCACTCACTCCATTTTTTTCTTAGTTTCATGTAAGGGATGAGGGACAGGTCCTGGTTCTTAGATGGACACACATGTCACGTTTTTTTCATTATTTAAATATGAATATGCTAGACTTAAAGCCCATGAACATAAATTATTAAACAGAAAAAGAAAAATGAAGGTCAAATTTTCAAAGCCCATCCTTGTAAAGTAGAACTATAAGTATCGTCAATTATTCAAATTCAATGCCGATTGTTATCATCTGAAAACATCCATTTCCTACATATTTTGTGATCTTAAGATTTTGTGATCTCAATATATGTCTTTTCATTTCTGTGATCTTGTCAGGTTTATGCATCTAGATATGCTTTTTTTCTTTTTACTTAAGATTTTTCTATAATGCACCCGTGTACTTCTTTTAATTTGTTCAAAACCAAAATTTCCATGGTCAAAGATTTAACCTGAAATGATGCAATCTTAATTTTGTTTCTCCCTCTCCCACTTAGTATTGTGGGGAAGACAGTTCTGGAGAAGTCTGATCTGGAACCCGCTTTAAAAGCACTCAAGGATCGGCTTATGACAAAAAATGTGGTATGTTAATGCAATCGTTATTTCAGTCAGTTTTCTAATGGTGGTCTCTCAGGAATCCTGAAAATACTTATAAGGGTAGAGAATGAGTGTGTTTCTATTATTGAATATGAAGGCTGAGGAAATAGCTGGGAAGCTTTGTGAATCTGTAGCGGCTAGTCTTGAAGGAAAGAAGCTGGGCTCGTTCACAAGGATATCTTTGACAGTTCAGGTTCGTCCAATTCTATTTCAATCTCATTTGACACCGCACATTTCTGATTTCTTTCTTAAATACTTGTCGAAATATCTAATGAATGCTTGCAAAGCTGCATGTTAAATTGACTGCAGGCTGCAATGGAAGAAGCTCTTCTGCGCATTTTGACTCCGAAACGTTCAGTTGACATTTTGAGGGAGGTTCATGCTGCTAAGGAGCAAGGAAAACCATATGTCGTGGTTTTTGTTGGGGTCAATGGAGTTGGAAAGTCCACCAATCTTGCCAAGGTAAAAGTCCATTATACTGTTTTCATGGTTTTGAATAATAATATGACCATTTGGACTGACTGAAAATGATCCTCTTTGTGATTCATTGATCACAAAATGCATGGCTCTTGCAGGTTGCGTATTGGCTTCTGCAGCATAACATCAGCGTGATGATGGCCGCCTGTGATACTTTTCGATCAGGTGCTGTTGAGCAACTCCGCACTCATGCTTGCAGACTCCAGGTATTACTTATTTCAATGGACTTTATGTGAATCTGATCAAGATTGCTTGAGTGTTGCGTTTTTTTTTTTTGTTATGGGGAAATTTTTTTACTTGTTAGATAAAGCACTTCTCCCAAAACTTATCAAATAAATAAATAAAAGCAAGACACTCCTTTCCCTGAGAAAACACACCAACACAGATGCATATGCTTGTCTAGCGGCACTTGCTCACTCTCCAGCCCAGCACACAAGAACAACACAAGAAGGGCTTGTGTAGCATGGTCCTGCAGATGCCTACACGTTTATCCCCTAAGGCGAAAGCGCTACTTAGGAGATTTGTTTCAATCTGAAATTTTGGGTTCCTCCTAGGGGTCTCCAGATTATTATAAAATAAGTGGATTTTGAATTGGGTGGTTTTTGTTTAATGTTATGGCCTTAATTTTTCTCGGGGACAAAAAGAGTGTGTTTAAACTTTTTTTTTTCTTTTTTAATGTGAGATCAGTCAATAGGTTGAGGACTTCACATATCCAAAACTTGGCGTCCTAAAAATTCTCTTAGACTGGGTTTTACCCTAGGGAATACTCCTTTGGTAGCATAGGATATTTTGGGAAATAAGAATTGAAACTTGTGGTCACCAGAGTCCTTTTTTGTCGGAGACAGGCATGTTGCAATGGAACCTCAAGATATGCTAATTGCTTGGCGAAAGGGTTATTAAAACTTTGAACTACTTGCTCGCCACATGTAAGCTCTTCTAATTCAATTGCCTTTGCAGATTCCTATATTTGAGAAAGGCTATGAGAAGGATCCTGCAGTTGTTGCAAAGGAAGCTATCCAAGAGGCCAGTCGCAATCATTCAGATGTTGTTCTTGTTGATACAGCTGGTCGAATGCAGGTAAAGAGTAATTGCCATTTATTTATGTAAATAAATGCTGTGGTACATGTTTTGGTTCTCAAAAGAGCTGTATTTGCAGGACAATGAGCCTTTGATGAGAGCGCTTTCCAAGCTTATCAATCTTAACAATCCTGACTTGGTTCTGTTTGTTGGAGAGGCACTTGTTGGAAATGATGCTGTAGACCAACTCTCAAAGTTTAATCAGGTTTTGCTTCCATTTCATTGATCTTTGATGCCATAAATTACCTGTTTTTTCACTCACTTTTCCATTAGACGAGTATTAAATGTGTTTGTTGATGGTTTATTGTACTTTGTGTAGAAATTAGCGGACCTCTCGACTTCGTCCAGTGCTACGCTAATAGATGGCATCCTCCTTACAAAATTTGATACAATTGATGATAAGGTACAAATGCATTTGCTGATTAGGCATCTTGCATTTTTTTTTGGGGGTAATCCAGTGGGGAAAACAGGCCCCTACTTTTTTTTCAAATAGTTCAAGAGATAGTATTTTAAAGGTGTTAGTGGGGTGTTATCAGTGAGAATGAAAACCACAACGTGGTGACTAGGGTGTGGGGTTGCTGCCATCACGACCCCAGCCACTATCCCATATTACATTTTTTTTTTCTTTGTATTATCTTTCTATGGCATTTGATTTTTTGGTTTGTGGTGCCCAGGTTGGAGCTGCACTTTCCATGGTTTATATTTCTGGAGCACCTGTGATGTTTGTTGGCTGTGGTCAGTCTTACACCGATCTCAAGAAGCTCAATGTCAAATCTATTGTCAAAACCCTTCTTAAGTGATGGATGAACTCATACTGCTCTCTCTCTCTTTCTCAAATTAGCAACTCCGCATACTTGCAATAGTGTCCTACTACTTTGGCCCCCAATGACCTCGTCCTGATGACTCTGGTGGTGAATTGATATATGTACAATATTTGTATTATTTATGATTTTGTTTGTGTGGCAATTTCACCTAGATACATTCAAAATTCATATTTTACCATCCTGATCATTTTTTTCTTTTGGGTAATTCAGTGGGAAAGACGGGCCTTTACCCGTTTTTTTGTAATATAGATTAGGAAAGTTATATTTTGAAGGTGTTAAATTGGAGGTGTCAGCTGTAGGAATGGATATTACGATGGGGTAACTGGGTGGGGGTATTCTACCATCCCAGATGCTTCCCTTACCATCCCGATCATTATTGTATGAAAACCCGTGATTTTAACTGATTCGGCTGTAACCTGTTGGTCTTTGTTACTCTGTAAAAGTCCAATACCTTCATCACGCACAGATAGAGATTAGATTCTGCTGGTGATCTACTTGGTAGAGGCGGTGAGTGGAGCCTCGTCCAGTCCAATGCAAGAACTAAATCGAGATGTACATAGATCAAAACCGGAATTTGACCTGTTGAACCAGTTTCATTTCAGTGCCGGTTTTGCATGTTCCATTGGAACATTTTGCTTAGACAGTTGAACTTAAATTCAATGTACTTTTCCAATTTATTGCTAATTTTTACAAGATTTCATTCTTCATTTCCATCCTTTTCATGTTGATTGCAAGGGAATTTTTTGTTGAAAGAAAAGGTACCAAAATTATCGTGTGACAACACATTATTTCACTTTACTTTTTTTTTGAGGGCAATGACCTTGTGAGACCTTTCTACATCCATGTGTGTAGGACTCTAAAAGGTCACCATTAAATGTGGCGATCTTTGGAAAAGTCAAGTCTTATAATTGTGATAATTTTTTAAGAGATCTGTGTCAAATTTAATGATGATCACTTTAAGTCTTACACATATAGGTGTGGGAGGGATTCATAGGATTATTACTCTTTTTTTTATGAAAAAAAGTTCAAATTTGTCAATTTTTTTAATTGTTCTCTCTCTCTCTCTTTACCTGTATGTTTCCCCTCTCCATACATGCATGTGCCACTTGTCCAAGTAAATGTATAGAGAAATATGAGTAATTAATGTTAGTTAAATAAAAGAAAAAGTATACGAAGAGACCATTTACTTTTAATGCAAGGGATTCGATCATTCTTAGCCATCAAATTTCAAATCAAATGGTTATAAATGTACTTGTGACAAAACTCAAAGGCTTTTTTTGGAATTTCGTGATATTCCTTGAGCCATACTATTGGATAGCTTCAAGAAAAAAAAGAATTGACCTATTTATATTAAGGGTGAGGTTTCCATGAGGTTGGTACTTTAAACAATCAACCTAAAGTGCACTTTCAAATTTTATCATAATATATAATTTTCATGTAAAATGTTTTTAGGATTATCTCAAAATCTATTTTCATATCTAATTATAAATTTTAAATTTCAAAAATGGTTAAAATCAAGTAGATACATATGAAAATCTTGAACATAGACAGTGTAAATAATATGTTGTAAGATGTACTATTTTTGAGACTCAAAATCTTTTTATTTTTCAGTCATTCATCTCGAAATCGAGATGATCAATCACAAGGTTTTTTAATGTTAAAATAACTATTTCCGATGGATTTTTGAGGTGCTGGTTCTACATTTTAAGGTTGCAACCTTATATACACTGTTTCCTTATTTTAAAGATTAAAATCTTATAGTATACAATCCTTAAATAAAATACAGTATTTAATTAAATAAAAATAATATTTAATTACTTATGAATGTTTAAAATTTACAATGTAATGACTAGTTATTGGAAAAAGTTCAAATAAGCAACAAGTGGATAGAGCATATGGTCCCAAAAGCCTGAAATCTTTTGGCGAAAGGAAAAGGGTATCTTAATAATGGAATTTTCACTAAAAATGGGATGCTTCCCAAATGATTTCCTTTCTCCATTTTGCTTGCCCATGGAATTCATTGCAAATCCACAAAATATTACTATTATGGACAAACTCAACCCAATTTTAGAAGGGATTGTATACTATGAGATGATTTATTTTTCTTACAAAGAGGTCACAATTATTTCTAGCCATGTTAAATTGGATGTCTTGAAGTGTTCTACAAAATTCAACAATTTGTTTTTTTAACTTTGAGTCTAATCAATGACTTGCTCACAATCACCCAATTTGAAATTTAAAGAACATGAATGATAGTAACCTTAAGTAAAACGACCGTTTTGTATACTTAAACATTTCATAATTTCCTCAAGAAAGTATACAACAAGATTATTTTTTACCTCCAGTACAAAGGGACTACAATCAACCCTTAGCTATCCCCCTATCATTTAGGGTGTCATTATCCGATTCAAAGTCCTAGTAAATATTTCTCAAACTTTAAGCAAAATGACCCATCTGAACATTCAAATTTTACATTTGACGGCTTGAGATGTCTATGACTTTCTTCTATCGAAGGAATAGTCTCCTTGTAAGCAACCGTCCAATTTCCACCATATTTACCAAAATTCTCCCCCAAAATCAGAGAAAATCATAGTTCCCCCAATTCAATTGCCACACTTTTAGTCTCTGGTTTTAGTAATCATGTGAATGACAGAATGAGTCTCGACCAAAAGCCATTCCACTGCACAAAACTCCAGAAACCTTCATGAAATTTAAAACTCAAAAACATGTCCAAGTGAATTATAACAAAGGTTTGAGTCGACTGTGTGTGTATACATGGATATGTATGTGTGAGCAAGAACTACCTACTTTCAGCCAAGTCCCCAACAATTTCCAGGCCTTTAACAAAAAAAGTTGAAGAAGTGGCCAAGCAAACATAACAATAAAAGATAACAAAAAGGACCAAGAAAAACATACACCCACCCTACATATCTGACAAAAAGAGATCTCCTTGTACACCACCTTTATGCTCGGCCTCACATTTGCAGGAAGAGCGCATCTCATAGCAATGGCCAACACTCTCTTCATAGCTACACATTCTTCTTCTCCCACGTCCACGAGGTCCCCATGCTCTTCCTCCATTAGCCTCCTCACCCAATCCATAAGGCTTCCAGGCTTGACTCAACCAGACGTTCTTCTGGTCGAAATTTCCCAACTAAACTCGCTCGTATCTTTCCCAGTCAACAAAGCGATCAAAACCAACCCAAATGCATCAGTATCACCTTTAAACGAGGGTTTGGGCTTTTCCTTAGATGAGATCTCAAGAGGTGGATGGATATCGATGTGAGCTGGTGGAGGGCATAATTCGAAATGCGCAAGGAATTCTGGACTGTCTAGGAGGATATTGGATGCACAGATATTACCGTGAGGAAGGGCCTTGTCGAGGTGAAGGTAATTGAGACCACGAGCAACGTCAGCCGTGATTTTGAGGCGTGGTGACCACCAATGCATGAAAAACCAGGTGGTTCAAATTCTAACCGCCCGGTTAGATCAGAACCAGCTAGTAGCCAGTTTGGGTTTCAGCTGATTTTGGTGAACCTGCCAAGTATTTCAAAAAATTATATAAAATATCCAAAAATAAGGGATTCTGTTTGTAATACATTTTTGTATGTTTTTTATCATTTTGACAAAGATTGGAAATTGTTTTGGCTATTAATATTTATTTTTACATTTTTCCAACTTTTTCAAAAAATTGAAAACTACCCCTGGGCACAAATCGATTCGTTAAAATCCGTTTTTTCATTGATTTTCAACTTCATTTGGATGTGCTTTGTTTAGTCATGCTTTAAATATATTTTTCGTATTTTATTAGATTTGTTTTGTATTTTTTTATTTTTTAACACTTTTTTGACCGCCCAGGACTTGCCCGATTAGGCTGGTTGAACCAACCAGTTGACCGGTTAGGCCAGTTAATCCGCTTCCGGCCCCATGTCCGGTTAACCATTCCGGTTCGATTTTTCCTACATTGGTGACCACATTATGGGGGGCGTTCTCCTGCCCGGCCAATCTAAAGAAGGAAAGAAACAGACGACAAAAGTTGTTTGGCCACTTAACATTTATTTCTTTTGCTAATGTTTCCTTCTTTTTTTTACCCTTTCTGATGAATATAGTCTCAGGGTTGGATTTTAATAATAAAAACAATATAAATTAAGTAAATATATTGGTTTGCATTATCAGGATTCATTGGGTATAAGTGAGTGTGTCTGTGGGTTTGTATGTGTCACAGGTGAGTATAAAGTTGCAAGCACCTGCACTATGCATTCAAGAATACAACACCAAAAGACTGAAACTGCAAGTGATTTTTTCTAAGGTGAATGCAAAAACGTTCCGTTAAAAGTATAAAGCAAATTCAAAGCACAATAAAAGGCAAAAGAAGAATTAGCAACATAGGGATCCCACATCGGCTTCAGGCACATACCTCAACTGGAAGGCACTCGACATAGAAATCTTTATGTAGGGGCTTAAAACCAGTTAGTCTAGCCAATAGGAAACAGAGAGATTTAGTTTTACCCGAGGGAGTAGATGGACAGTAAAGTCCAGTGGAAGCATGAAATCTTTTGGCAAATAAAAAATCCGAGTGAAATTCCCTAACCGCACAAAAAGTGAACAACTATTTTCTGTTATAAGAAAAAATGATTAAAAATATCAAGATTATTAGGAACCTTAAATACATTAGTAAACACTGAAGGTAACATGCGTGATAAGCACTGCAGATACAAATTTAAGAAAAACAACACGGGAATTTGATTTCAATGTAGGGTGACAAGCAGAAAATTGAGCAAACATTGTGACAACCTTTAACGAAACTAAAATCAGAATCAGACTAACACACAGGAAGCACCACGTGAATCAAAGCAAAAGAGAAAGAAAAGAGTCCATTTACCAAACAAATAATTTGCGAGGCTTCCTGGGCATACATAATCCAAAAACAGAAGCTTCTCATGCAGTCCGGGTCCCCAGTAGTAGCCCCTGATAGGAACAACATTCATATGTCTGATATTTCCCTCTTGAACTCTTTTTCACAGTAAATGAATGCCCACCATCCAAGATGGCTCTATATGAGGTTCCATGGATGCTTCGACCTAATACCTCAGCTGGTGCTCGAGACAATTCTTCATTGGTTAGGAACATTGTCTTGTCCAAACAAACAAGATCACCAGGAAGCCAATTGGGAGAGAAGTCACCAAATGCCCCATGGTTTTCTTCCTCAGAAGCTCGTGGAGGTGAGACACCCATGGGAATATCCACTTCTGTAACTTGACTCTTAAACCCAATTGCGGGGTCCTTTATTGGAGATATGAAAGGATCAAGGACACCAATGGTGAAGGTTTTGGATCTTTCTATCCACCAGAAGTAGAATGGAAGGGTACTTCTGCAAATGGCCCATTTGAAGGATATATGTTGCTAAAATTGCCGATGTTACTACAATCTGATGTGTATGAGGCTCTTTTCCGATGAAAGAGAGGCAAGAGAAGCAACATACTGACACCAACCGCGCATCCCAGTGTCACTGCTACTTTAACACCTCATTTCACACCTTTTCTTTGGGGTCCAAGAAAACCAACCACTATAGGAGTAGCTTCATACGATGATGGAGTTTGACAAGGAAAAAGCAACTTTGAATTTCCAAGATAAAATGAAGACTCGGGGAATTTCATTAGGTTAGAGGGAACAGAGCCTGAAAAATCATTATATGATGCATTAAAATAGTTTAAAGAATCTGTAAGCCAGCTCGTAACAGGCCCGTGAATTGGTTAACTGATAACTCAAGTATTTTAAGAACACCAAGGTTGATCACTTCAGAGCAAAAAAAACCGAGAAGTGTTTTCTCGAGATAACCAACCTCGTCAGATCACCCATGAAACCAAACTCTCTAGGTATGGAACCATCAAGTTGGTTACTTGAAAGATCCAATTCCTGGAGTGGAATAGAGTGGTAACACAGGATCAGATGGGTTTAAAGAAAAGTTCTTAGGAAAAGCCCCATTGAAGGTATTATTACAAAAAGTTTTTTAACTGTGGGGGATGCAAGAAGATTGGTTGGAAGAGACCCATTGAAGTGATTGGAGCTGAGATAAAGTGCCCTAAGCTTAGGATAAAGGGGTATTATAGATGCAATAGGACCTTCCAGAGAATTAAAGGAAATATTCAAATAGTGCAATCTTAGAAAAGATGAGGCATCCAAAGGAATTGGTCCAAATAACTGATTGCAACTCAAATCGAGGACTTCAACATTGTCGTTCGATGCAGTGATAACTGACAAGCTTCCAGTAAATCGGTTTCTTGAAAGATCCACAATAGTGCAGTTGCCAATTTTGCTTACCAGATACCAAATTGGAGGAGAGGTTCAGGATCCTTAAGGTGGTGGATGTGATCATGCCCAATGGACCTGCCATACAAAACCAAAATAAGAAACACACCACTGGTATGTATACGATGAATGGCATGAAAGAAAACTACTTTTCCTTTTCCAAGAATATAGAAAAATTACTTTTCCTTTTCCAAGAATATAGAAAAATTACTTTTCCTTTTCCAAGAATATAGAAACACTACTTCCAAAAAGGAAAAAACAGAGAATGTCATTGATGTCTGGATGATCAGATTCCATTTCTTCTCTTTCTTTTTTATTTGCAAATGTATATCCCTTGGTGCTGTCTAAAGTTCTTATAATAGACAAATTCATATGTCAGGGATTCCACAAGGGTAACACTGTCAGAGTAGACAAACAAGAAGCATTACTGAATTTGGCATATTTATAAGACCAAGTTATCTGCATGAATCAGATGCATGCTCTATGTCCAATGTGGCATGCACAAACCAGATCTCAAATAAAACTAAATCTGACTCTTCAGTTAAATTCATAAAAGTTACAAGCCACAGAAAAACACCTCATTCCTTCTCACCCATGCACAAACCATTGATATATAACAGTAAAACCAGCCTAATTTTCATAAGGACAAAAATGAAAAAACCAACTTACCAGACAAATTGTTGGCACTAAGGTCTAGATCAGTTAAGAACAAAGAACCCTGTCTTAGAAGCTCATTTGGTAGAGACCCAGAAAACCGATTGCTCCCCAGATTCAGAACCTCCAGAGCATACACAAACCGAAAGCCCGAAAGCTCACCCGACAAATGGTTATGGCTAAGATCCAACACATTCAAACTGTTAAATAGAGGGATATCATCACTGTACATAACTGGTCCACTATGCTGGTTTCTACTGAGATTCAAATACTCAAGAGCAAAGGCTGAACTCACTGATCCAAATGTCATTCTCCACGGAATCGAACCCAAAAATGAATTCCCCCTAAGATCAACATAAACAGCATTACAAAATAACTTCAGTGCATGATCAACCCCACCAGAAAGCTGGTTTTGATGCAGGTCAAGCACTCTGAGATTCAAAAGCCTATCTAAGCCAGTCAGGTAGTTAGAACTCAAATGCAGCCATTCTAATGCACCCACATTCTGAATTGAGCTTGGAACTGAACCTGTGAATCCATTATTGGTGAGAGAGAGGTTTTTCAGGACATGAAGCTGGCCTATATCAGGTGGGATTTCTTCATGAAAGCTGGGCACGTATAGCCAGTATCTATTCACACCACAAAAGAAAAATCAATATAATCATGAGCAGCATAATGCAAAGTACATGTAATACAAAAGTAAAAGCCATTTTTATATCAACAAAATCATGAAATAGGGAAAAAGCCTGTATAATTTCTGTAGGGCCATAAGTTTCAGTTCGGATGATCACCAGTCTGTCTAATAAATCTACAGGAATGCCGTGCGGACTACTTATATCAGTTCCCCTGCAATGTATTCATCAATCACAGTAAACACAATACCTCAAACAATAAATTACTGCAAAGAAAAGTCACTGACATAAGGAGAAATATATTAGAACAAGAGGAATGTGTAACAATAAGTGCCCATTGAAATGATGGATGGTGGGTAGAGTGGCATCCACCCAAATATAAAATGACCCCAATAGTAGGTTGCACTTGAGCTCCATCACTGTCCATCATTTCAGGGGATCGTTATAATCCAAAGAACCATATATTTCTTCATAGTCCATTGAATTGAGTGAATTGAGGGCTACTTTCCCCAGAAATAATGCGGCCATAAGTCAGTACAAGTATATAGAAGGAACAGATTCACGATCAAGTAGCATCAGAGGACCAAATAATCCAATGGAAATATCCTTGATAAAGAACACCAGGCCAGAAAGAAGTCAGCATACCGCACATTGCATATTCCCCTATTTGTTGCAAAGATGACAACGGGTGACAACACGGTCTCTAAAGCACGATTAAGGTAGGAGAAGCATTATTTATCCAGCATGTGGACCTACAAACAAGTTTTGAGCAACCGTATAAATAAATGGCACTAAATGAAATCAAGTGTATTTGATGATTTTTGTCAAATAGAACATATTATATGTTTGTACAGATGAAAAATGTATGCATGTGGTATTGCATAAAACATACAAAGATTTGCTTTTGTGTGTTGTGTGTGTGTGCAACTGTATGCAAGCAGGTGCTAAAGATAATCAGTACCTCATCAATAATTACCACCCCAGGCACAAGGTCTACTACTCCTTCATCAATATACCTATTAACCACCTATCACATAACAATATCACTAGTTATATGGCGCAGGAAAAAAAAAAATTACAAGAAAAAAAAAATAACAATTTTTTTTTTAAGAGATTAGATCAAAGATTTGAGAGACTCAAAGAACACCTAGTAGAGTGTATTAACTAAGTACTAGAAAAAGGTCTACGAGATCTATTTCATATATTGCGATCGGAAGAAGAAGAACATGAAGAGGTAGAAGATCAAGAACCACGCAACAAACCTCCTATTCCTAAGAAAATAAACAAAAAAGTAATAACACTAAATTTAAAATTTTCCTAGTTTCTTTTTGCATCATTCTTCGGGGGTTGGGAGAAGCTCGACCTCGAGCTTGATTCAAAGTGGATCCCCTTCATCACCATGCAAGATTATTTCTGGAACTTGATCTTCTTCTTGAGCTTCATCCGCTTCCTGAGCCAAGTGTACCTTCACCTTCTTTTTTCGCATTCATATGAACAGTGTCATGTTTCGGTATCTTTGAAATATCCTTTTTTTCTTCATTAAATTTTGGTTGGAGCAAAACCTCCTTTTGAGTGTAAAATAGCTTATCGGTAATAAGGAAGATAAGGGAGGAGAAAGGTGTAAAGTGGAAATTAAAGAGAGAAAGACATGGAAGGATGAAAAAGGTTGCAAGGAAGGATAGTGTTTTTTTTTTTTTTCCTTGTATTAAAAGAGGTGTGGCCCCTCTTTGAAACACAGAGATTAGAATTGAGTAAAGAAGTTGGGTCTTGTGAAAAGATCTTTGGGGTAGACTCCCTTACAGACCCAAAGAGATAGTATATTCTCTCACCTTTTATTATTATTTTTATTTTAATTATTTCTTCCCTCAATCTTCCCTGCATCATTATATTAAGAAGTGCAACAACACTTCATACATGCATTACTGCAGTTTGCTATACCAAAGTATTAAAAACGGCAAGTCGACACTTTATACATGCATTAAAAAAAAATAACTTACTACCAAAGTATTATAAATATCCACATAGAATAATGCAAAACCTTGTTTATTTCCTGCCGCAGCTTGTCAACTATTTTAGTCTTCTTAGTTTTCATCAGTGGTTCAAAAAACGGCAAGTCAACCTGGAATCGCTAGAACGTGCCATTTGAGCGAAAAACACGGGAATCGCTCGGCCAGATTATAGATAAGAACTAGCAATTTTGTACAGTAAATCATGTGTATGACGTCATAGATCGGCGTATGACATTACAATCTTCCCTTATACGTTAAAATGATGTCATGGATTGCCACATCAAGGTCGACAAACCCATTTACTGTTGGCAATGTGGCCTTTCAATGCCTTAAAGCCAATAGTCTTAGGCTCAGTGGGAGTTAGAGAGAGACTGAATTTGGGTGCTTGGCGCACTAGAGCCTAGATTCATATACCCTGAGTATTTGAGGCATTGAGAGTACATTTTGAGAGTGTGAACTCTCAGGGAGGTATGAGGGTCACCTCTGTGTCAGGACTATATTGATTAGAATGCCTCATAGTTGATGTGATAAGCCAGGGCTTGGAGAATCCAATCGAGAATAATAGAACCCGAGTATTTAAAAGAGTATTCGCCCTGTATGGAATAGTTGGCTCATGGGACATGAGCCCGTATCCTGACACGAGACCATTCTATGGCATGTGCACCCACTGTCGTATGGGGAAGCCACTCTTCTATAGTAGTATTCGACTTAGAAGAGCTAGTGCGCATGTGCTTTGAGAGGACCCCAGTATTTGAGTAGGAACATGTCCCACAGGGGTGCACCAGTAATCCATTGAACCCCTGGTGATGGGAAGCTCTGGCTCAACGACTTTGATGTGACCAATTATGTGTCACTGCCATAGACTGTGGAGCATAGGTCCATTGGGTCGGCTTGAGACACCAATGGAACGTCATTCAGGTTAGCCCAATGGAAGACTCCGACTAGCGATCTCATTTACCTTTAGCCCATATTAATCTAAAATTGATGAGAAAATATTTTATATTGATGAAAAATTATGTAATAATATTGAGAAATTATTTAAAGAATTTTTGGGATTTTGGGAGATTTTTTTAGTTCTTTTTTTAACAATAAAATATGATTTTCAAATTTGTTTGACATAAATACCAAACAAAGACATTCTATGGGGATGCCACATGGATCCCAAGTGGCCATAGGGATGCCACATGGCACCCCCACCTCCCCACTCGTGGATGACATCATGCTGATGACATTTCTATATGGGGACCTATTTGTCATTAATTCTTTTGTTTGTATTATGTTATAACATATTATCTTGTTATTTAAAATGTTATATATTGTTATGACTTAAGTTTGATTTAAGTCACATGTTTTTTTTTTGCTCATATGTACCTTTTTGGCATGTGTGAAGTCATGAAATTTTGAGAATTAATTTAATTCATATTATTATCCACATATGATTTTGTAGCATGTGTGTATATCTTATGTGGCACCACCTTATGGGCTTGACCCATATGAAACTTTAGTATTGTTAAAATCCTATTGGTGGTGTCATAAGATATTTTATTCAAATGTGTAGATGTCCCATATTACCTTTATATCCATGTCTTTATATTTTATTGACCCTCACAAATTATTCAAAAACCATGGGCATAAGTGTAAACATGAATTTGGACTTAATGGAAAATAAAACATGGAGCTAACGACGTCAAGGTAAAATGACTTAAACCTAGGTTTTACGGAGTGAAAGGTGTCAAAAGCTCATCCATTGATCTTGGTGATATGATATGGATGAGTGGCTTGGATAAAAGCCTCTCATGTGTCATTGATCTAAGGCATCAAGGATCAAGATCAAATCCATCTTTATGATTTAAGTATAAAAGTAACTTATGAGATCAATTATAACCCTAACTTGAATATTCACTTCAAAGAGAGAGAGAGAGAGAGAGAGCCCTTGACAAAAATGTGGTCACCCATGAGATTATCTTCTTCCTTGAGCTTTCATTTGAAACCCTTCCATGGAGTAGTCCATCATTTACGTGATCAAGCCCATACTATTGCTTCATTAAGGTATTGATTTTTCTTCTCATATTTTTAATTCCCATCTCATTTCCATTTTCAAAGCTTGCTGTAATTCTTAATTTACAGTAACTTTCTTCATTTTTTGTCGTGAAAACTTGATATTTGAAGAGTCCCAAAGCAATAGTGCAGTCCATACACATAATATGTGTAAACTAGCTTGCTTACTCCATAATCTTGGGTAGTTTCAACTTGATTTCTTGATCTTATTTTTCTGAAATTTTATTGAGAATATACAACTTATGAGAAGTTTATTTCATCATATTTGAGCATAAGAAATAGTCCATTGAGTTCCCTTTTTTAATGTTGAAAAGTTCGTGTCGTCCCTTATGGACCACGTGGTGCAGTTTCACCATAACGTCCTTATTTTGTATAGTATCTCTCTCAAACTTTGAAGAGCTATTTTGATACATGTCCCTCTTATGATTTGATCCCCATTATGAAATAAATGTAATCATTTGCTTCCCATTGGATTGATCTCCTTGAGTTATTATTATCACCCGTGCCCTTAGACAATGGGACAAAATTAAGTCTTTAAAAGGCCATTTCGTGGCCCGGGCACAAGGGGTTCGAACCATGATTTTTCCATGTATGTTTGCATGTTAATTTGATGTATTTACAGTTATTAAATGGATTCATGGTTGGTTAAATTGAGTATGTTGTGTTAATATTGAGATTGTTTTTTAATCTTGCGGTATGAGCTTTAATGCTATGCATTATTGTTTATGCGAATTGAAATCTTATTGAATTATTATGATCAAGTGTATGATGTGTATGAGATATTATGATATATGATAAAGATGAAGAATGAAGATGAAATTATCATAATATTTTGATATAATGACAAATTGAGAATGCAAGTCATGCAATATGTTGTAGAGATGTACAATGTGAATATTTAAATATTGTATTCAGTTTAATTGAATTTTTTAGTAAGGGATTTGTAAGGGACCTATTAGGGTTGAATTTTATTATTCAAATGTGGATAAACCATGTTTGTAGGCTGGAATATATGTATTATGATTTTGTATTGAGATATTCATGCATTTAAACCCTTGAGTTTTTATATAATGGAAATTTTTTAAAAGATTGCATTTCTAGCCCATTGGTCTTATACCACCAACATTTACATGTGGCCACACATCAATATTTCGTGGTAGTAGGGGTTGGTTTTATTGTTTTATAGGGCCTCTTCTTTCCACATCTCTTCGTTGTGGGACAATTCCAAAATACACTTTTGCTTTCTAATATAGCTTTTCATTCACGTAATAGTACAACAAGTGGCGCTGTGGTATATTTGGTTATCACGTTCTTCTTACCCACTGAAGGTCCCTAGTTCGAACCTCCAAGGTGGCACCAT